GGCACGATACCATAACGGCTAAAACTACTGTAGATATGAGGGTAAATTAGATATTGACAAACATGTGCCATCCACATGAGAGCGGATACTCGGCGAGAATCTACGAAGGAGAGTTTACCGGTCTGGCGCGTTACTCGGAAAGTCTAACCCATTTCACTTCTTTTCTCCTACATTTCTCTTTGTTATTTTCCCCGCCATTTATCCTTGTCCGCTCACCTTATGCTATATGCGGTGATGGACTTTTCTCCTTGTTGATATGGCGTAAGCGTCCAAAAGGTATATCATACCAGGCTCGCCCCTTTCTCTCTCACGATATACAGGTACTCGTACATCTAAAATACGGACGAACATTCCATCAAGTCTTGTTGGATTTGTGGGAATAGGAAGCAATGTGATGTTGATAGTGGAATTGATCGCTGGATGATTTATGACAGTTTTCCCAGTTATTTACCATCTACCCTTCACAGATAGGGGCATCACACAATGCAACGAGCTTGGTAAACGTTTAGGAAGCTTCTCACCATAGCAAACATAACATTTTGTTCCCTCTATGTTTTTTTTCGGACATTACAATTAACGCATCGTACCCTCCCCGCTGGATCTAACTCCTCCCCCCTCCCACTCACCCTTCCTTCCTCCGGGGTTTTGTAAAAGCATCCCTGGAGCTTTTCCACATTATGTATCGGAAGCCCAAACAACAGAAAGGGTACCATAAGAATGGGAAACTGGGTTAAAATCCCGCGCCAACAGTTCGCTCGTTCCACACCTGAGGTAGACGTGCTAATGGTAGAGGACCGTGCAAGAGGATTATCCTAAAGTTGAAAGTTGACTTGCCAATATTATGTGTTAAGGGGTTATTAATTAATTACACGGTATGTCATACATTTACAGCTCAAATACTAACTCCCCGCTGGTGGTCTTGAGTGAAAGCTGCACAGAGTTAGCCACAAGCTTGGGCTAGAAGCTTATAACCTTAGTCACCCAGATAATCTAGGTGAGCTAGGCGACAAGACCTGAGATAGGCGAACCATCTGTGAGCTAGATCTCTCTCATGAAAAAAAAAGGGGGAGTAGAGCGGGAGAGGGAACAGAAATGAATGAAATATGGGCAGAAGGAAAATTGATGCTTTGACTCGGAATGGGAATTAAACTGTTGATCTCGTCATGGAGTGGGGGGCCTTTCGTGTGGTATCGTCGTCTGTTCCGGGAAGAATTCTAACGGGGGGTGGGTTAGAACTTCCCCAGCATACGGTATAAGCGATCATGAAACATCACTCGTGTAAGTTAGCAGTTAATGTGTTGTAATATCACTTGGTTCGAGAATCGAGAAAAGACTTATCCTTCCATCCCATCTCCTGTGAGAAGGGAGTACTAATATACTACATGAGTTTAGCAGTCACTTTGAACAGCGTGTCCTATATCATGCAAGCCAGTTTCCCAACAGGACCTACTCGGACCATTCAGCTCGGTATCCCAGACCAAACAAGTCTGATGCGGTAACCATCTGGTAATGGAATCCTGAGAAGTCACATTTTCCAACATAATGTGAAACTAGGGTGCACGTGAGAGGGCCTCACATACACAGGTCAAATTCTGACAGCCTGAGCCGATCGCAACGGCTCTATCCAAGATATCTAAGGGGATATGATAGCAGGGGTATTCTAATAGAGAATTGGGACGCGCATGGAAGGCCTCTCCCAATTTCGGGGCCGAGGCTCATACCGGGTTGCGTTGTCGAACGAAACAACACACAGCCTGACGGCTACCTTGGCGATCCTGCCAGAGCGGTAGGGGTGAAGCATATCATGCATGGAGGTCTCCCGGTGCCATTTTTAGAAATCGCTCTGTCCAAGCCCACATACACCCGTGCCCTATCCATCGGACCAAATGTTTCTTTTAGGGAAAAGCTATTTCGGGGCACCCGCATTTGCTTGCATCGAGTCAGATCCCCCCTCATTTTCGACCAGTGACAAAACCCGTTAGAAGCATTCTCGGTGAGAAGTAGAACGGATGGCGAGCTCCATCGTGAAGGAATTCGAACAGATTGTAAAACACGTCGCGAAGAAATACATTCCCAGAAGGTAGCCAACCCAACGGGACATGTTATCATAACGTGCGGTGCGATACGGTACAGTCGCTTATAGTAAACTCGCCAGACGTCGTTGGCCGGACAGGGGTTGGGGGGGTGGAGGGGGAAGGTAAAAACCCAATCGAAGCCCCCGATCCACTCCAACAACGCCTCCCCTGCACACCCCCCTCTTCATATACTCCCAAGGCTCTTCTTTTTGGTCTTTCGTCTGACTATCCTCTGATCTCTACAGGTTCGTTGACCTAAAACCCACTTGTAGTAAGGAGGGTTAATTAGGTAGAGCATGAATACTTATCCTATCGACCATTATTGCAACGATTTCGCTTATAGGTATACCACTCACACAATATGGATCAATGGGATGGATCAATTTCAGAATTCAGAAAGAAGGCATGTCAGACAAAAGGGAAGGGAAAGTTCAGAGCAGTTTTTACGGCGGAAACCGCCAAAGCAACGGCGCTCTTTGTGTCGGGGAAAGACTTGACCCATATTGATAACAAGTCCGCCGTGAGCACCCCCGGGGATGAGTATTTCTGTTTTATTTTTATTTTTTTTGATTACTTGGCTTTGTGTGTCCAGAAATTATCTCTGGCTTACTTCAAGCCACTCCAGACCCTTAAGATTAACCCCCGGGCCACTCGCAAACGAGTCTCTTCGTTATCGAGCCACTGTGAACCCCCCCCTGGAACCAGACCCGCTGTTCTCTTTCTTGCTGATAACGTGGTACTATGTATCAGGGCTGTAAGGTACTCACCGATTCAGAATTGTTCATAGTATCACCCGACCAAATGACGCCAGGTGCAGTAATAGAGGGTGGAAAAGGGCTAGTTGAACTGGGGAGTAGAATTGCATGCTTGAGAGCTAAATAAGGGAGGTCAGGAAGGTCGGAGAGCTCAAAACTCGCTATATTACTGCCCGACAGTATGAATCCACTATGCTCCCTCTGGGAGGCGAGTGACTTTTCATGAGCTGGCCAAGGTGGCTTCTTGGGCCCGATTCTGTCAGGTAGGTGGCTCAGATGGGGGAGATATTATAAAGCATTAGGATATCCAGGCTCCTCGGGGTTAGAGAGATTACCGGTAGGGTTTCTTGTGCTCAGACATCGGGAGCTTGTTGCGCAGGAAGAGAGTGAGCTCGAATTTCCCCGGCCAACATGGTGGCATTCTATCATCATTCTCAGAAGTCCTCGTCGTCACCTTGGGAAAAAAACAAAACAAAAAAAACACCATCGAAACCACTGCGATCCATAGCCTGCAATGGCTCACACTCTGTTTGTATGTTCTACCCCTGTAGGAGTGTTAGAAATTTTCTTATGGGCTTTGGCTAGCTGGGGACACCATTTGGGCCCTACTACCACCGACAACACGGTAAAATACACCATCCCTAGGTACCGGTATCAAATCTCGAATCGCGATGCGCTGTTTTCCAGTATCGTAATCTATAACCGCGATATACGGAGCGTTATCACCGGCATCATATATGATACTATCCGGTAGTGTATAGCACGGCCCCCCCTCTGGGAGTTAGGGTTTTGAGCAGCAAACGTATACATACAACGTCTCATTGAAAGCACCAAGGCGTAAAAGAGTGTCGGTGCGGTGTGCCAACCCTCAGTTTTTGCTGGGGTTCCTGTGCCCGGCGCTGTACCGGTGGGGCGAGTACCAACATCGGAACTATGAAAATAAGTTTTTCAGAGCGAGTTCTTGACTTTATTTCCTACGATAAGGGTCTCCCGGTAGCCTGGGCTCTCGGTGCACGTAGGGAAGGCTTACAGAACCCGCCAGGAGGGGTGGATGTGGATTGGGCGGTGAGCGTACGATTTGCCAACAGTAATGTCAAAAAAAAAGATAGTGTAAGCAAATAAACTGTGAGGTGTTTGGGATCAATAAGGAGAATAGTTTATCTCACAATTTCGTGGGTAGGGGAGTGGCGAAGAAGGGAAGGCGGAAAAGGGGTGGGGAGGGAGGAAGAATGGACCAAGCTCAGCGCTTCAGACACCACCATGCACTCTACTCTCTGGATCCCTACGGCACAGTGTGTGTGGCTATATACAATTTATATGTGTGTTTATGAAGCTTCCTCCTATTGGGCGGACGTGGCGGATGGGAGGACGGATCTTTGTTGGTTTATTAAAAAATGTACTTGTATCTAAATGCGAGTCGGATATCCAAATACAGAAGCAATAGCAGTGTGAAGTCCGAAAATACCCTCAGACTCTTAAGTCTACCTACCCTCAACATCTGTACCACATCTCTCTCCACAAACACAATAGATTAAGGGTCGTTGCCCATACACATACTATACAATACCCAACACCATCTACCATTCTGAGAATAGGACGCAGTCTCCGTTCAGCGAAGCAACGTATAATATAGTCACAAATTTTAGCAAGATAATTGATGGAGAGTCGGGAGGTTTTGTTATGACCGTCGTCGGTAAAACTGTGCTTAATTCTTGGCAAAATTCGATGTGGTAAGGGCACATTTTTTTCTCCTATTTTGCTATGGCGTACAGTCGGTGGACTATAATTATCTTGTTACAAACTACAGATGTTGGTGTCGGGATTGGTATGTGTTTGAAAATGATTCTCTTAGTGTTAGTGCAAAACAGTAAACAAAGGTGTCAACACAACCCCTCGAGGACCGCCTTATTCAGGAACTGTTCTTAAGACTGTGCAAAGCTGAGCCACTGAGCACTGTTGCCATTTGGAAAGGTTAGTGCCGTTGCTCCTCTGGCGACGACCGTCGTAACAAAACCTCCCTAATAGAGCCCTCCGGGACTAAGACACGAGTATTGTAGAATGATGGCATCAGCAACGTGCAGGGGGGAGGGGGAGGGAGACCACGGCGTGTGCTCCTCTGTGAATGCTCCAAACCCCGTGGCAACAAGACCACCACCACAGAGAGTACAGAACCACCTCAACGAACAGGCGATCGAGCAACCAACACAGCAAACATGTCCCGAATCCTCACCCGCCCGGCTGTCAGGGCGTTTTCCACACAATTTCGGCTCTCTACTGGTGCCTTACGCTATGTCCATAGTGAGCGGGTCCCGTACTCTGGTCCTCCAAGTTACGATACACTCAATCGACGCTTTTCCTCTGACATCAACCCCCACACCTACGTCTCTCATCAGCATGCAAAAGCGGCTAAAGAACGCGGTGAAATCTTTGATATACATGACTCCAGTGGCGTGGACCCGTTGAATTTCGATGTTTTGATTGCGGATGTAGATGATAAGGTTTTGCGGGGCAAAATTTCAGAGGTAGTGGGGATACCATACCATTCAAAGGCAACCATCGAGGATGCTGGTAGGAAACTAGAAACTGGATATTGTTACCTATACGGAGAAAGTTCTCGGATAATATTTCCTACGGTTGTTAGTAATCGGACTCGGGCTCATTGGGTTTTTTTTGTTGTGGAAACTGGAGCTCCGTGGACTCACCTTTCAGCACGGGTAAGTTCTACTCCTAATTAAAAGAGGTCAAGTCCATTGCTAACTACTTTAGACTTGTGAGCTCTTAGGTTTTGCGCCAGAACAAGCGATGCCGAATCTCGTCACGATTGCGGGATACACCCACCCAATCTACAGATCGCCTCGCAATAAACACTTTTCCGATCTCAACCTTCTCGGCATGGATTTTTTTTCTGTGCATAGGATTTCACAGTGGAATGATTTTCTGAAGCGTCGTGCAATCTTGTTCTTTGGTACGAAATGGGAGCCGCCTAGGAAGGTCGAGTCATAGGTTTGTGTACTAGCAATAGGAGGAAGAGAGGAGGTTGAGGGATGGTTTTTTCTTTAACTGTACTTTCCTCCTTACTCTTGAATACTACAATATCTACCATGGCCAATAAAGTCCTGTTCATAAAGTTGCATAAGAGTGCTGCGGTAGTATGGCATGGGAACTCTGTACCCGGAGCACTAAAGTGAGGTATTTGGGAGTCAACGTCAAAACCTGAAGACTTTTTAACAGAAATTCCAGTCAAAAAAGTAACTCTATTGGGTGATAGAGTAGCTTGTTGGCTTCAAGCCAATAGAGAGAAAATGAAAATATCTTTGTTTTCATAAAGTTATTAAAGCTTAAAAAGGAGTAGGTTTTGGGGAGAGAATTGAAATGTCTAGGATATTTTTGGACATGTTAGTTTCTATTAATATTAATTTAGCATATTGTAGATAGAATTATATGATACCTTCTTTTCCAATTTAGAATATCACCTATGAATTGAAGTCAGAATAGTATGGTATATAATATAGGATATATAGGTAAAGGTAAGGTCATAGTTAGATTAAAATATCATGCAAATATAATTTTATTATATCAAACCTCACATAATACAGACTTGCAATAACAATTTAGTTCCTTAGAAAACAAGTTCTAGGTATGATACTCAGGCTGATCCCACTGTAATATTGAGAATTGTAGAAACTAATACAGAAGAGTCACGGTATTACAAGAAAATAGAACTCGAAAATGACACTATCAAGCTGGAAAAGCAAGAGCGAAGATGATAAGCAAATCATGAGCATGTTCGTTGTTACCGAGTAAAGCAAAATTCTCATCCTAAAGAATTCAAACCTGCTCCACTATCCAGTGCTGAGAAGATAAGACGATTGAGAAACAGAAGGCGCTCTATTATTGATTCCTCTTATCATTCAGATGTATCTGAGTCGCTTCAACCAGAAAAGAATTACGAAATACTTTCTTCTCGTAAGCGGACTCAAAAATATTGAGAACAGCTTCATGAAGGCCAGAGAATCTAAAAGAAAGTACCCTATAGTGCTCCTGAGTGGTCACAAATGTAATATGCCAAAAAGCAACAGCTTCACATAAAAGCATATCATAACGGACAGGGTCCGAGCAGGTAGTCCTGGGCACTCCACGGTCAGCCTCTGGAAATATGAATAGGTTCGTCATTCCATCAAGGGTCTATACATCGAGGAGCCGGTATCCTACTGCGGGTCTAGACAGGAGACCTTGGTATCTAAGGTGAATCCGGCTTATTGGGGTGCAGCCGAAGAGCAAGTTCCAGGGAGGTCTGGTATCCCACTGGAGGTTTAAGGAAGAGACAGGTATCCCATCTCAGAGGTCTAAGCATCAAGACAGGTTCCCACCTCTGAGGTCTAGACAGATGTCCGGTATCCCACCGGAGGTCTAAGCAAGAGACAGGTATCCTACCTCAGAGGTCTAAGCATCAGGACAGGTTCCCACCTCTGAGGTCTAGACAGATGTCCGGTATCCCACCGGAGGTCTAAGCAAGAGACAGGTATCCCACCTCAGAGGTCTAAGCATCAGGACAGGTTCCCACCTCCGAGGTCTAAACATCAAGGGCCCCCAGTATCCAAGGTTTATCCGTCTAAACTGTATGCGGCCGAGGAGTGGGGTTCAAGGAGGGTTTCCGACATCAAGCCGGAGTCTACCCGCGAGGAGCATAACCATCTAAGGTCCAACTAAGGAGCATCCAAGCGAGCCAAGGTAGTCGTCCAGTATCCCACTGGAGGTCTAGGTCAAGGGGCCTCGTTGTCCAAGGTTAATCCGTCTGATTGGTATGCGGCCGAGGAGCGAGGTTCAAGGA